CTTTTTCCCAGACTAAAGTGCCCGTGAATGTGGATTAAACGAACACCGTCTTAAATCACTTCAGAGCAGCACCATTAGGAAGGCAGTGGTTCATTTGACTGAGAGATCATGGATGGAGTGAACACCACGGGGGGCAGAGCAGGATAAGTCATGCCCAGATGTGGAGCTGCGTCTCTGTGTAGGGAGTCACAGTTCATCAGCTCTTCTGGAGCATCGGTGTGAAAAGCTGACTCCATATCTCACTCAGCAAAGCGTCAGCACCACACAAACACTAAAGTACTTCAGGTCAGCAAGAGCTAATATACAACTCAAGATCAGGAGAGGTTAAAAAATAAAGTCTCTCAAGGCTCAAATATAAGGATGGCCTGGTGGCCTGGGCACCAGTGTGAGTTTTGGGACATTTGACAAAATAGCCTCTTGCCCATTAGAACCAGTGCTGCACTGATCCTGAAAAATGTTTTTTTTTTGTCTTGTACATCATTTTTTTATGCTTTGTAAACATAAATGTTTTGTTTTTACAGATTTTCACCAATGTTTTCTAACTGGCCAACATACAGGTGAGGGTTTGTCAAAGTTACAAAAATCATGATAGTCTTGAAAGCGTCAATAAGAATTTGTTGAAAACTACAAAATCAGTAACATGCTGCATCATACATGTTATTCAATAGAAAAACAAAAACCAAGACAGATATGAAGTAAGAATAAGGACAGAGTTAAAGGGTCATGAAACCCTAAAACATATTTTGAGTTATGTATTGTTAAACAGTTATATACTGATTGCACATACCTGAAAACTTTTTTGAGAAATTTTTTGAGCCATTTTGCTCTTCGATTTGAAAAGGAATGTTGAAGCAACACCACAAAATGTGAGGTAAATGCATCAACTCGGAGTTGTGACTGGCTGGACAGTATGGAACATCAGAAAATCATTAAAAAAAAACAGTGTAAATGAGTGAGATTTGAATTTTTGAATGGATGAAATTTCACTGCTGTTGTAGAACACTGTTCTGAAGTTTAGGAACAGTTGTCCGTCCATCCATCCATCCATGTATAAATACATACATACATATAATATATATTTTTTTCTTTTCAATACAGTTTGGTGGTGCTAGAGGTGTAGAAATTGCACACTTCTCTTTTAAAATATATAGTTAAGGTTATCTTCCACCTTCACTGTGTAACATATAGTGAGTGTACCGGCACTCATCCACAGCTTGAGTTATCTCTTCACTGCAGGGGTGTAACATGTCCCGTATAAATACATACATACATATAATATATATTTTTTTCTTTTCAATACAGTTTGGTGGTGCTAGTGGTGTAGAAATTGCACACTTCTCTTTTAAAATATATAGTTAAGGTTATCTTCCACCTTCACTGTGTAACATATAGTGAGTGTACCGGCACTCATCCACAGCTTGAGTTATCTCTTCACTGCAGGGGTGTAACATGTCCCTCCTTCTCCTCAGCAGCCGCTCTCCTGGGCAACACTGGGCTTGGTTTCAGAAATGTTAGCTTTCCCCTCGGAACCCGTCTGGATTCGACACCGCACGCTGAGAGAAACTTTCACACATTTACCATTAACCACCCAAGACTTGATTAAACCAAAGAGTGATACCTTTCTGAAATGTTTACTGGGATCCACCCTGCAGTGTCAAGAGGCAGTCATTCAATAGAAGGGAATGATGTTTAATGCATGGTTTGTCATAAATAGTTTTGAGTAGCCTGCCTCAAGGGAAGCTGAACAATAAGCACACTATTTAGCATTTTAATACAGCTTTTCCACAACACCATAAAATGGGGCTGGAGTGGAAACACAGAGAAATAAGCTTTTCCAGTGTTTTAAGTGCTCTATTTTTAATCAAATTCATTGGTTTTAAAAACACCACCTATAATTTTATGCAATATAATGAAAGCACACACATACAAACATATCTTTCCCTTGAAAAAAACATTGCTGTGAGGCATCTGCAGCACATCCTCTGAGGCAAAGTAGGCCGAGGTCACCTCCTGACATAAACCTCATTAGTGTGACCGCAAAGAAAGTCAAAGAGCTTTTCTTTTCATGTCTGAAAATGTCAGAGACGACTTCATTAGTTCAGGAAGGACCAGGCAGGGGCCGTGGAGTTCTCTGCGAGTAGCATGTTCTCAAATGCCAGGCTTCTGTTCTGTGCGTGCCACGACCTAACACACAACACCGCCTCTCCCTGGGAGCAGACATGAACACACAGACACACTACACACACAAATAAAACCTGACGCGCTCACCCTGGACTCTGACTGCACACATGCACACTCTTTCGAATACTGTGTCCCAGCAAGCACACACTGACAGGAAGTACCCGAGCCCCCTGCTTTCAACATACAACTACACATGCTCTTCCACACACTGACAGCTGCACACCGGCTCCACGCTATGCAAATGCCAACCAACGTGGGGTTTGCTGGAGGCTGAGGAAAGAGAAGAAGGGGGAAAACAACAGAATGACAGGTGACCTCCCGTCGACGGTCTAAAATTATGCTAATAAAGTCATTATTGTTTATTTATTCCTTCAAGAGCGTGATGAGGGGGGAACTCTAGGAGAAACATAGCAGCCAATGACTGGGAGACTATCCAGTGAGTTGAACTGAACAGAACTCTAGTTTAAATGGGACAAATCAATGTGGAACCATGGGAAAGTAAACCATAGAGGAGATTAGCCAAGACTTTGGGACTCTTGATGCATAAGAACAGCAGTTTGCAGTCTCGCTCTTTTGCCTCCATCGTTGATTCCAGTTGTTCAAAAAAAAACAAAAAAATCAATCGCAGATACCTTGATGTAGGCGTGCAACATCTGAAGCCGTTTTTACGATAGGCATATAATTTTCTCCCCCACCTCCCTCCCCAAGCCAATCATGTCAGATTGCAATGACAACAGCCCCTGAGAGAAGCTAAAATAAGCTGTAGATACAATAGAATGGGTTACAGGGTGACCTTCAGAGAAACACGACTAACTATCAGTCATGGAGGTGGTTTTACTCTGACTCTATGTTGGGATCAGACAGCATCCGTTTGTTTTCTAAATTATACAGCCTGGTGAGGAAAGTAAAGCAAGACAATGAGAAACATAAAAGCTTGCATCCACAATCAGACTCCCATAAGGCTTAGGTCTATTTCCTGCAGAGAAGCTATTTCCCCCGCACTCCAAACACCTATGAGCGAGCAGTGGGGTCTGGGGACTGCATGTGGACCGGATGACTGTATAGCCCACTCTCACATCCAATTACAATGAGGAACCAATCAGCTCATCTAAATTACTACTGCCCCACAATCCACCAGGAGTTAATGAGCCATTAACCATTTAATGAAATCCATATGATGCTGGATGGACACTGAGAGGAAATTACGTTGACTGGGTCAAAAGTTGAGGTGGCTTTTATGTTAAAGCTCACTGAATTCATAAAGCAAATTGGCAACATCAGCACCTTCTTAAGCCCATCTTGTCAGTTTTTTTTTTTCTTAAAATGAATACCACAGTAGTAGTTTGACAGACTCGATTATTCACTGTATAAAGCAAAGAACATCTGATGACTTTCAGAATGTTATAATAAACGCATAGGTATGTGACCACCATATTAGTACAGCTAAAAAAATAGCATTTTTATCAGTACTCATCTTATTTTCCAGAAAGTAGCTAAACATCCTTACAACCATAGGCACAAAATATGCACTACATAGAAGCACAAAAAAAATATCTGAGGACCATCCAATTGCAGTCTCAATGGTCCAGAAATGTTTTCTCACTGGCAAACAAATCTCAAAGATGACTTGTGAAAGCATCAGTAAGAATGTGCTGAAAACTATAAACCCGATCAGTAATGTGTTGCATCATACGCCATCAGTTTCCAAACAAAACACTGTTCAAAAACCCTGTAAAATTGATTTTTTTTTTTTTTTAAAGAATGAGATATTGTTTGTGAAGAAGATTTTGAATTTTCTTTTTGCATATCCAGAGGGCGGTCTACTGTTTCATCCCGATATGGGATACAGTTTCATTTAGTGCTGCAGGAATAACATACATAATCTTTAAGCATTAACCTCAATAAATGTAATATTTTATTTCTTCTTTTCTAACAGTCAAATCAAGTGTATATGGTTGCTTCTGGATCTGGAAATTACACTTAATTAAACCTAACAAAAACAAATTGCTAATTCTTCATCAGTCCTGAGACATGTTCTAACACTTGAGCTCGATCAGCAAGGCTGTTTCCATTTATAAATGTTCCTTGTCGCAAATTGGCCCGTTTAATTTGTGAATAGTGTGAACAACCCAAATTTCCTGATTATTTGCATCTAATCCAATTTATGGATGCCATTAATTCTTAGTGAATTTCTCCCCAACATTTGGCTTTCAACATACATAGAAGGAACTTCACATATCATGAGCTAAGCATGATGCGACAAACATATCACTTTCAGCAAAATATGCACCCAATTAGAGGATCAGAGATGGAGAGCTGATGGCAACACTCACTTGTGCATGATTTAAACTGGATAATGAACAATTAGAGATAACCTTAACTAAACTCCTACTAATCAATGTCCAGTCTGATAGTGGTAGTATGCTGCTGTGAACCATTAGGCAACTACTCAAGATGGGTAAAATAATTGTGGGTAATCCTTTCAAATACACTAACAATCCCCTGACAGCAATTCAGCAGCACAGTGACAACGGCCTGTTTGTACTCAAAAGGCTTTTTCGTGTTTTGATGCTGTAGCAAGCACCTCAGCATAATTAGGACAGAAATGGCACTAACTTTCCCTTTCGGAAAGAGCGCAAACAAAAATAAACATATATAATCAGCTTTGTGAGTACTCTAAATATATGTAAATATTCAAACCTCACCCAATACAGTGTAAATGCAACTGACAGATTTGGTACTAACAGCCATCTTAAATTCACAACTTTCAATTCCATTATAGTTCAGTGCAGTACATCGAAGGAATAGCACAATCTTACCTTCATCAACACAGACTCGCTGAGTTTCTCCCGGTTTACAATTTTTATGGCAACTTTCTGACATGTGACACAGTGGATTCCCAGCTTCACGAGGCCTGGAGCGAAAGGAAAAAAGAGAAAAGAGAGAAAAGAAAATCTGTCAACAAGCATAAAAATTGCATCAACCAAAAAGCACTTAGATGATAAAAGGCTGGTCCCAGCGTAAGTTTCATTTCGGCAAAATGAGAATTCTCCCTCTAAAGCCCCCCGGTATCCATAATGTGATACCCAGGGGCACTTTTCGTGTCGCAAAGTAAATGTCAGAGAACATACATAAACACAAACAAGGCCAGATCAGCGTTGGGTCCCCCTCAATGACTTTTTGTCATATCGACGATGAAAGACGGTCACTACGCTCAAAGGCTGACACGGGCATGGTTATATATCAGCAAGTATATTTGGCTAAATGCCACATCTGTGCATGCCTTTATTACCCCCATACATTTTTCAGCATGCCTCTGCATATCAAACTGTTGATTTCCCTGAAGGTTTACCCAGGGGGCAGAGGGGATATAAAGACCTGACAGGCCCCGGGATCTCTTTTATGTTTGTCGTTAAAGTCCGAATGGCATCTCACGCCACTTTCACGACGTCTCATTGATGTTGTATCACAGGAGAGGACGCTTCGCAGACGCAATCTACACCCTCATGCCGGGCTTGAGGGCGCAATGGAAAGCGTCCGGGGACCCAATGAATATTTCATCTTGGCGTAATTGCCTTGCGCTGAGATGAACACACACAGACGTGTAAAATGCCATACACGGCTAATGCAATTGTGAGGTGAGTCACCAAGAGAACTTTCTAGGAAGACAAATGCTTGTATCAGCATACAAAAAGATTTTGCCTAAACACTAAGAAAGAAACACTGAATTCTGATGGCAAATATCAAACCTGATGCAAAGACTAGCATGGTTACTGGTCACCGGCACTAGCGTCCACACCAGCCTTCCAACTAAATAAACCAGCAGGACTTCCTTGATCAACCAGCTTCAACAAAACCTGTAAAATTCAGTAAGTAAACAGAAGAGCTATGTTGGTCCAAAAACTAGATCAGCATTAACCAGATTAAAGGAAAATGACATATTAGAGGGTCCACGATGAAAAAAGGACAAATCTTCTAAAATGAAGGAAATATCTAGTTTAAAGCAAGTGTCAAGTTTTTGTATGTAAATTCTTTGTATTCAATATTGGTTTCATATGAACAATTTTTTTTTTTTTTTGTCGTTGTTGTTTTTTAGCTTTAACAGTGTATACATCTGAATCATTAACATTTTTTAACTTCTTTTGAATGTGAACATTTTTTGTACAAATTTTTTATTCATAAATATATTTTTATTAGAAATTAAAAACATGTTAATCACATAAGTATGTATGAATTTAGTTTGTATTTTTGAATCAATTAAGAGAGCTGTGCAGGTAAACCTCACTCCTCTGATCTCAAGAGGTGCACTAGCAACTGACACTAGATGCAGCGGTCTTTAGCGTCCTTGTTAGTGTGCCCGCTTCCCATCCAGGCAACCCGGGTTCGAGTCTTGCTTGGAGCGGGGCGGTTAGGACCGGAGGGGTTACACTGGCAAAGCAAAGTGGTAAGGCTGCACAATTATGACAAAAAAAATCTGTTTTTGTGGTATGCAACTGCATGCATGCCATATTCTTTATGTAGATTACACAACCAAACTGGTTCAGACAGGATCAGTGGGAACAGACTGGGGTTAACATTTTTCTGGGTTGCAATTATAGGTCAAAATGATCTAGTCTACAAATGCTTAATCTCTCTTGTCAAAAGACACTTCAAATTTCCAATAATTCCCTTAAAATCATCAATCTTTCTAATTATTAAAGCATACAGCAAGTCTTTCTCATAGACGGCTGCAAAAGAAACCATGGAAACCTACAAGAGCACAACTAATCAAAGCTAGACTAAAGTTAGGCTAGCACACTTCAGTCAGAGTTCTGTGCAAAAAACATGGATGAATCAACGGCATTCAAGTCTCTCAAGCAAGTAAACAAGCAATGTTCTAGTCATTTCCTGAAAAAAACAACACGAGCCCATAAGAGATTTCTCAACTAACACTTGACATACAACTCAAAAAATGTTAGGTTGCTATGTTGCGAAGGAGGCGTGTGTGAATAAAACGTCTGCAAGCAATGGGAATAGTAGAAACCAAAATGTTATGAAAAAAGAGAAGAACAAACCATAAAATACAGAGTTGAATGAGTTTAAGTAGTAGGACTTGAGTTCACATGAATCAAAATAAAATCACATTGAATGATACGGTATACTGTGAAACCGTGAAATTGTGATATTTTCTGAGACGGTTAATATACTGTGAAAATCTCACATCAAAATCTACAAACCTAATGGATAGTAAAGGTTCTTCATGTAACCAAAGAGACCAAAAAAGAACCTTTATAAGAGTCTTATAGGTATTTACAGTATGTTTGCCTTAAATGTCACTAATTAAATTAAAAGTCGACATATTCAGTGAATGCTACTATATACTGTATATAGTAGCATTCACTGAATATGTCGACTTTTAATTCAGTCCAGAGTATTGAGGGGGGAAATTGTAATAAGTAATCATGCCATACTTCCCTTTACTTTCTATTTACATGTACACTAGTAAAGTGAAAGAGCGCAGCTTTGATACGTTACCACACACGCAGCAGCATGACACCATGTTCTCATGGCTGCACAGTGAAACTGCATCCCCAGAGGCTCAGCATGTGTCCTCAGAGGCTTCCCTCATCTTCCCGCCGCAGGGCCTCAACAGATCAATAAGTGGGAGTTCATCAGTTAGAGTGAATTGCCTGCTGGTGACCTTCAGCAATAACATGCATCAGTAATCACCAGGGCTTCTCCCATCAACCACCACTCTGTGTCAGATCTTCTCTGCTGTATGTACACACACACAGACATGGGTCTCATACTTACTTTTCACATACTCTCTGGCTTTGCTATAATCAGGGGTGTAAAATATTTCAGTATTTTACTTGTTTACTGTACTTAAGTATTATTTTGTGGTATTACTTTATTCAAATACAATTTAAACTGACTAGTACTTGATTACATTTGTGAAAAAAACAGTACTTTTAACTCCTAAAATTCTATTTCAACATGAAAAGTACTCATTACATTTTTGCATTTTTATTTTATCATATGCATATTAAATATGTTAAGCAGAAGTTCAAAAGTGCTTGTGACATGTGAGAACCAATGAGGTTTGTTTTCACGCATCAAGCACACACATTTCAGCTTCAGTTTTAACTTTCATCAGGTAAATATCAAAAAGTTTGCCATCAAATATGAGGAAGCATATTTTGGATGGATGGATGGATATAGCCACTAGATGTCTGTGTAATATATTGGCTGAATGCACAAAATTGAGTGCAAATCAAATTAGTGATGATAATTTAAATACAATTCATGTTTTGGTGGGAATGATTGCTTTTTTAAATTAAATGTTACAAATCTCCAAAAAGTCTTTAAATGAGTATTGTATGTTAAATGAATTGTAAGTCATGTTTAGTGATGCTCTTATTAGGGAGTGGATCAAGTGGCATTATAAATGATATACTGAGTAACAGTTAGGACTGTCAATGAATTCTTCTTATAATTATTATTTATCTAAATAATTACATGATTTGCTCATTAATTAATCTAATCAGTCACAAATAATTATATATCAATATTTGCTGAGAAAAAAAAACTCTAAATGCCCCAAATAAACAATTAAAAGATGAATTATTGTTACAAACGGGTGTTGAATAGACAACACAAAAAGTGGCCTTTCACAAAGTTAATGTTGCAAGTTTAAATTCTACGTCACTTTTCATTAATTCATCACAAGTTCTTATATTATGTCTAGAAAATGTTTCTGGCCTCTGCATCACATCTGGCTCTTTAAAGGGATAGTTCATCCAAAAATGAAAACTCTCTCATCATTGACTCACCCTCATGCCATCCCAGATGTTTATGACTTTCTTTCTGCAGATGAACACAAACAAAGATTTTTAGTCCATATATTTAAAGCGTACAGGACCGCTTCAGAAACCACACAAAGTGAACACAACAATCAAGTTTAGAATATTCATATTTTTCTAACACACTCCTATCATTTCACTTAAGAGGGCAATGATTCATCAACAGGGGTTGTTTGGGTTACCGTTGTCTTCACTGTATAGTTTTTGAAGCGTTATCTTTGGACGTCCCATACAGTTGCATTATACGCAGAGAGATGAATTTTTTTAACACTTTTTTTTAAACACTGTTTCTGTTCATCGAAAGACAGTGAGTCATATAAATATGGCATGGATGAGGTTGTAAAGGATGGAGTTTCCCTTTAAGGGTTGTATTTTTTTGTGTTCCACTAATTGTTGTTCTTGCACTAGATAGATGTTTTTGACATTGCCATTTGTGTTTTTTGTTTCTCACTTTAACAAAATCTTTGTATGTCTGTCTGACAGAACATTTTATGCAGTTTAATTTTAAGCAATTTCACTTTGCATTGAGGAGATGGTTCAACATGGTGAAACAAGAATCTCTCTCTCTCTCTCTCTCTTTTTGGCCATATACTTGTACTTTTAATTGAAGATTTTCACTGAGTATCTGTACTTTCACTTGAGTATAATTTTTGAGTACTTTTTACACCCCTGGCTATAATGCCCACGTTCACCTAAAGAAAGCAATATGCAATAAAGTTCTCAAAGTGAACTACTCTGTGCCTCCACTACAAGAAATAAAACCCATGTTAGGCCTTGAGATCCATTTTTATTATTATTTTTTTGCCAGAAATCTTTTCTTTTCTCTCTTCTTTTCAAATAGCATGTAGCATGAGATTTGGCAGTAAAGTTGAGCGCACAATAGATAACCAGGGCTCTTGCCAAGGCCCTGCTATTTTTGATTAATGTAGCAGCATCAGGGCTCCAGCACAAAAGCTCCATAATTATACAATGACTGAAACAAATGGAGTCTGTTTGAGGCTAAATGGAAAAGGTTACTTATGCTTATTTATTATGCATGTTGCTGATACAAGTATTATGTATGTAAGTGGCT